GCCTGTCACAACGCCTGGCTATTTTTTGGTTGCAGCCATCATCGTTGTTTGGCCGCCCGGGCTGGATTCAAACCTGCCACCTTAGGTGTATGTGGCTGGCGCCTAAGCCACTTGAGCCACAGGCGCCGAGCCCCCGCGTGAAAATTTTAAGAGAAAGCAGAACCTTCCTCCTCCAGGCAGGTCCTTCTTCAGCAAAGTGGACTTGGTTTTGGGGGTGGGGGCCAGAAGTCATGGAACGTGGCAAGTAAAGGGCAGCTTGGGGCCACCACAGAAGCTCCTCCACGCATTAAGCTGGAACCCCCCAAGGACTAAGTCTTCTTACCCTGGGGACTGTGGGGGAAGGGGCTTCAGCACTGGGGGGAGCAGAAGGCAGAGCAGACACCCAGAGGCTGGGATGGACCCGCAGCCGGGCTTCGGCACCTGCAAGCGGTCGCTGGCCTTTCCCCTGCCTCGAAAAACCCCCAGACGATGCTCCCAAGGACGGGGTCGGCAAGTGCGGAAGACCACGGAGCTGCAGTAGAAAAAAGGGGTTTGCAGGCCGCGAAGCCCCCTCCCTGCCCCTTGCTGCAAGGTCGCGGTTTCTGAGACACTGAAATGTTGCCCACGGCCCCGCCCTCCCTGACCCAGCCAAGCCCCTTCCGGAGATGCGAGGCCGGCTTCCCGGTAGTGGGTTCCCAGCCGACGTGGGACACAATTCCTCACCAGCGCCTACTATTGTGCCCGCAGGCCTCTCCACGGGATCGGAGGTAGGAGACCGGGGACACCGGACAGGTGTCCGCAGAGGAGGGTGCTCGGCAGGAACCCCGTGGCTATCCCCCGACCTTTTCCAGGTCCTGCCCCTCCCTGAGCCGCGCAGGCGGCACCGAGACGAGCCCGCCCCTCGCGTCAGCGCGAGGACAGCGGGCGGAGCCCACGCCCGGCGGAAGCGGGAGGCCAGGGAGAGGCCAGAGCTGAGCGACGGCGGCTCCAGACAGCCCGGGACGAACAGGTAGTGTCTGCGGGTCCTCAGCATGATCTGGGGGCGAAGGGGACTCTGGTCAGGACGTGGCTCAGCTGGCGGCAGTTCGTCTCCAGGGAAGCGGCGCTGTCCGCACGGGGCGCGCACAGCTTCAGGGCCGAGATGCCCAGGCTCGAGGGAGGGACGCCGCTCAGCCGGAGAGAGCCCTGCGGTGCGAGGCAAGGGTGAGGGGTCGCTCAGCGGGAGGGGCCGAGGTAGGGGGCTATGGTAGATGCCCGGAGCCACAGGGCTGCGGGCGGAGTCAGTCCTGACGCCCGCCCCGCCCCAGGATGGGCAGCAGCTCGCTGTCCGAAGACTACCGCCTGTGCCTGGAACGCGAGCTGCGGCGCGGCCGCGCGGGCGTGTGCGGGGACCCCTCGCTGCGCGCCGTGCTCTGGCAAATCCTGGTGGAGGACTTCGACCTGCACGGGGCGCTGCAGGACGACGCGCTGGCGCTGCTCACTGACGGGCTGTGGGGCCGCGCCGACTTGGCGCCCGCGCTGCGCGGCTTGGCCCGCGCCTTCGAGCTGCTGGAACTGGCCGCCGTGCACCTTTACTTGCTGCCCTGGAGGAAGGAGTTCACCATCATCAAGGTAGGGCGCCAGGCTAAGGGGGAGCGCGCCCCTTGCCCAGGCCCGCGGAGATGGGGCCTTGGTTTCTTTCCCTGCCAGGCTACGAGGAAGGGGTTGGCTGCCTCCGGGAGAGGGGGTTTCAGGTGTCCCCAGGGGGTCCACTGGGCCTCGCAGGGCTCAGAGCACCCGGGTTTGGGGTGTGTCAGGTCAGCTCCCAGCCAAGGACCTGGGGGTACTCCAGGGCTAAGAACGTGGGGCTGGCGGAGGGCAGGCTTACATGCTCCTGCTCGAGGCCACCCTGCTCTTTGTCATCTCCAAAGTGGCCTCGTGGCCCTAGTTGCTATGGAAATCCGAGTACTGGTGCACAGGAGGAACTTGAGGTCAGCCTAATTCCTCTGGGAATTGGGCTGATCCCACTTGCAGAGGACATTGAGGCCGTGCCCTGTGAAGTGGGCAGGAGCTGGGCACAGACTTAGCTTACTCGGGTTCAGAGGCTGGGTCCAGGGTTGTTCTGGCCCTTAGGTTAGCTGCTGGCCCGCAGGAGGGGGGTAGGGCCCCCGGGAGCGCAGAGCTAATTCCAAGAGTGGGAAGGTTCTGGCGTCACTGCGCACGTGGGCGAGGTACGCCTCCGCCGGTTGCCATGGCAGCAGTAGCCCCCGGGAGCCGTTGCTCTACAGCGACACCTGTTGGCCCAAGAGTCTAGGACACTAATTGATCCATTCCATCCGGAGGGGAGAACAACTGCCAACACCAGGGGGCCAAAAGCTGGACAGACAGGCCTGCCCTTGGGGCACTCACGGTCTGGAGGGAGGAGAGTCGGAGGATGAGCCTGGGCCTGGCTCTGGGTGTGGCTTTAGCCAAGTCCCTCGACCCACGCCCGCCTCTGAGAACGGCACACCCGAGTGGTTAGGCTCAGAGAGCCAAAGGAGGGAACCCACGGTCCCGAGCACAGTGCTTACGCGGGTGGTGCCCATGAGTGGGAAAGGTCACTGTTAAATACTTAGGTCCTAGAAATAAGGAATTTTAGAGTTGGGAGAAGCACACCTCACCATGGTAGTAATTCTTTTACTTCATCACCTAACTCCGCAAGCCAGAAGCACTTTTCCTTACGTTAGTTGCAGAGCTCTCAGCCGAGGCAGGGGTCCTCAAACTTTTTAAACAGGGGGCTAGTTCACTGTCTCTCAGACTGTTGGAGGGCTGGATTGTGGGCCCCGGGACAAGTCGGCTCCTAAGCAGGACAGGCAGCAGCGGCAAAAACACCCAGCCAGCCGGACATTTGGCAGGCTGCAGTGTGAGGACGCCTGCGGTAGGGCTTCTGGCAAACTTTTAAACACCATACCTTATTCAGGTGTTGAAATACTGGCAGGAGTGAGTGACAAAGCCTCTGTCCCCATAGGGAGAGACTTCTAGGACTCGAACAGAAAAACCGAAGTTCGGAACAGTGTACTTAGAGGTTAAGGGGGCAAAGGACCTGCACTTTGTCACTTGTGCTTGCCAATCTACACCCAGGGTAGGACATCAGAGAGCAGAATTTCTCAATGGAAGGGTTTATTTTGTCCCAATTTATGAGCTAAATTTTTTAAACTAAAGATTACATTTTTAAGACAGACACTCGGCTCGGCGCCTATAGCTCAACCGGCTAAGGCGCCAGCCACGTACACCTAAGGTGGCGGGTTCGAATCCCCAGCCCGGACCCGCC